TGCTTGGTCAAGACAGAGACCCAGCATGGCATGGCTCCACCCGATACTGTTTCGGTTGCATCATCACCTGATGGCAATGCGACGGAGCCTGAGAAGGATGTGGAGGATGCAGGATCATCTGACTCCTCGTCGGATGACAGCGAACAGTTGTCCTCAGACGATTCGGACACAGCAGAGCCGCCACCAAAGGTGAAAAGATTCAGAGCACGAATTCCAACAGATGAGAAGTGGTATGTCCACTCCAGGTCGCATTTGATCCATCGGTACGATGGGGACTGTCACAATGCGATTCGTTTCCTGGTGTGTGGAAAGAGATTGAATGACTCGTACAACTGTGTACGGAAGCAAGCGCATGGAATGTCCTGTGTAAGTCTTGCAATAGAAGGTGATGAGACCTTCGACCTGTGCAGGTCGTGAGTTTTTGTGAATGTGTGACGAAAAACTGTCAGCAGCAGCGTGGTTCCAAGTGTGCTTGTGAGAGTTAACAAAGTCCTTTAAACCTTTGGTGCACATCCGTTCGGTGTGCTTGAATCCTCACATGTTGGGCATACCGCCCGCTGGTGGAACTGTACCCACCGCTATGTGTCGGTTCAAGGAATTTGATGCATGGAACCTTGTGTTTTCTTTGTGTTTATTTTGTGATGCATGTTCATGTTTGTGTCTTGTTTGCACATCACATGACGATACGGTGCATCTCCCTGAAAGGGATAAAACTGTCTTTAACAGTTTTCATAGTGCCACCTCAGGCACGGAAGCGTAAAACTGAACCCCACACTGTCCTTCTTCTTCGGGGTCAACAAGCAAACTGTTGAAATCCTTTCTGGGAAACAATCCACTCCCTTCGTTTGTTCCACTCTTAATCCTCCAAACGAGGTATGTCAATCTTCAAACGTCTTAATCAGAATATCTTCTCTGGGCACTGTTGATATTTTTCTTTACTCAGGAATCTATACTCTAACATACACATGATGCCGATATACTGACATCAGGTAATCATGTACCTTCCAAGAAATCTGTGCAAACAAACTCATGTTTGATTTTTTTATTCTTGGACATTTGTTTATTTCATCCCGTGCAGCTCTGGCTGGGCGGGTAGGAGGGTTTAGAAATCTTTTCTAGCCCCATGCTGCGTGAGAATCGGGGGAAGCAATGGACATACCTTCAGACTGCGAGAGCTCAGATTCTTCTCATGTCCAACTGGAAGAACGGCGAGAGTCAAACCCTCGAGGCAGTATGGCACCTTCAGAAGTCAGAGCACCAACGGACTCACGTTTTGAAATGCATCCATCAGTTTTCGATGCTTGGTTACGCTTGCAAAGATCTACAATGCCATCTTTGTCCAGAGCACCAATTTTTGACATTTTGTCACCTTCTTGGATGAAGACTGACCACTGGTTCAAGCCTCCGAGTTTGGGAATGGTGCCAGCAGTAGTTACACCGCAGGATACAGGGAATGCCTTGCCAGTTTCTGGATTGGCTACAAAGATGGCAGCCAATGACCACGTGCATTGGGAAGCCATGAAGAAGTTCAAGACGCTGCTTCTCAGTGATCCCGCAGCTACAAAGCTGGGACGCTCCCTTGTGTCACGCGTTAGCCTTTTGACAGATGAGGCAGAATGGTCACGTTCGCTCAGCGATGCCTTTGCTGGAAAAGCTGTGGCTACGCTTGCAAAAAGGTCATCGGCCTTATGGAGGTTTCACAAATGGAGCATTGAAAATGGCCTGGGCCCAGCCGTGTCCGCAACGGAGAGTGTCATTTACAGATACATGCAGTTTTTGAAGGAACATGGATCTCCTACAACGGGTTCAGCTTTCCTCCAGGCCTGGACGTTCTTGCATTATCATGCTGGATTTTTGGGACAGGGCCTGGATGCATTATCTTCGAGAGTGAGGGGAGCTGCAAGAGCCCTGTTCTCATTGAAGAGACCCTTGAGGCAGGCATACCCCTTGACAGTGCTGATGATTGTAGCCTTGGAGAACGTAGCAAACCTTGCGCCTTATGACCACTGGCCTATCATTGCAGGGCACATGTTGTTGTGCCTGGGCAGCAGCTCCAGGTTTGGGGATTCCATGAGGTTGGCTTCACTGAGTGTCAACAGCCACAATGGTTTCCAAATAGTTGAGGCGGAATCCATGTCTTATAAGACAGCGAAGAGAGACAAGCAAGACAAACTCTTGCCGCTGATCGGACTTGGAAAATTTTTTGCCAAGACGCCCTGGGCAGTGCAATGGATGGACCTGAGAGCGCAACATGGACTTGGCCTCGATCCAGCGTTGCCAGCCTGGAGTGAAATTGCCCAGACGTGGTTGAAACGGCGTATGACTACAGGCGAGGCTCAGCTGTTTCTGAAGGAGTTCATGGCCTCATCAGGCTTCAGTGAGGAGGAGTTGACACGGATTGGATGCCATTCTCTAAAGTGCACCCTCCTCTCCTGGGCCTCCAAGGGCGCTTATCTTCCAATCCCAGACAGACTTTTGATGGGACACCATTTGTCCAAGGAGAACCAGTCAGCTGTTGTGTACTCCAGGGACGAGCTGACACGTGTTACAGTGGTGATTTACCAAATGGTCAGAGATGTGAAAAACAAGAAGTTCAAACCAGATGCCTCCAGAGCTGAACGCATTGCAGACCAGGTTGAGCTTACAGATTCGGAGAGTCAACAAACCGATTCGAGCAATGACGAAGCTAGCCAAGAGGATGTGGAGAGCACGCCATGCAACATGGGCCCAAGGGCATCTTGGGATGATCTGCCGTTGGACGAGCTGAGGAGGCTTAAGGTTCACGCCTTCTCTGGGGTTGCCCACATTGCTTCAAAGCAAGACCCCCACAAGTTTGTGTGTGGGAGGAGAAACACAAAGAACTATGGACGCATCCCCGAGGGCTCGAACTATGCAGACATGCCAATCTGCATGCAGTGCCGTAAGTGAGACGTGAGAAATATGCCAGAGTTGCGCATGTAGAGAGGGCAGAGGAACCATGCCTAAAATGGCAGTCCAGGAGAGGTCAAAAGACCACATAGGCGAATTATACGGCAGCCGACCAGATAGGCTAATTTCACGTTTTTTGACAAGTTAAGGGCATGCCCTACAGGACTGTAATCTTCCGGCTAAGAACATCTATTTCCATATTTTGCCCAGCGGTACTGCTAAAAGCAGCAGCATTCACAAGCATTCACAGGAAACATGGTGGCGAAGCAAGCAAACATTGTTGCTCCTCTACCACTGACTTGAGCCTGCACTTCTAGCCGGCAGATCTTGCAACTCACAACTTCTTCCCCATGTATTTTGCACAGTGGCGCTGCTCAAAGCAGCAGCATTGACAAGCAGTCATGGGGAACATGGTGGCACAGCAAGCAAACATGGCTACTAGAACCGCTCCCACTTGAGCCTGCACTTCTAGCTGACACTTGATCTTGCAACTGACAACTTCTTCCCTATGTATTTTGCACAGTGGCACTGCTCAAAGAAGCAGCATTCACAAGCAGTCATGGGGAACATAGGTGGCATGGCAAACAGACATGCTTACTAGACCATCTTTCCGCTGCTCAAGAAGAAAAAGGTATACATATAAACACACACACACACATATATATATATATTTAACAACATATTTTTCTTACAAATCGAGTAGAGGTGACCCATTTATGCGTTTCATTTTATATATTAATAAACAAAATTGATTTGGTATATAATGTGGGGGGGGTTCCGAAAACACAAACACGACAAAATAAATCTAAATAAATCACGCGAACCTGCACAGTGGACAGGTGCCGTTTTTTTTTTCAAACTGTTTGGCTCACCAAATCTCCAACCCACACAGAAGCCGCACAAACGGCATAATGCTCCAAGGCACGCACAGACATTGTCTGTGGATGGGTATGGGAAGCTATCTTTTTAAGACGACCTATCAGGTCTTCATCCAACATGCATGAGAAATGGCGTGGGTTTAACCACACACCAAAGTCAAGCACCAAATGTTCTAGTTGATGCTGTTTTGGGCGAAGAGGCCATCTCATCACTTCGTGATCTAAGGCAAAGTTCGCCAGCCCTTAGTTGGGACAAAAAACAAATTATAACGAAAACTCCGGTTCTTGAGATACAGGGCTATACTGCCATTGACTCACATACCGATCCATTTGCCTCCAACAAAATATACTATTTTCATCCGGATTGTGTTACAGATAACCAAGTGGGATACCCATATATGTTTCGGTTTCATTGCGAAAAGACTGCATCATACGTATTCCAATGATGCCGTCCAATTTCTCAGGAATTTGGTCACTTGCAGATTGCAGGGAACCACTAGGTGACGAATAAAAGACCAAGCTTCAGTTGTACGATGATCGAAACTGCAAATATGCAAAGTGCATATCCACCACAGGATGGTCATCGGTCCAGGTCTGTGGCCAATATTTCCTGAGATTGTTTTGGTTTGTGAGACCCTGTTCCATTTCTGGGAAATGTTAAAATATTACACGGCGTAATGATAGAATAAGCAAAAAGTGGTAAAACAAAACACTTGTAGGTTGAGCCTCCCATGTTCAGCAAATGTGGTGTACATCGCTGCCAGTGCCAAGCAAGTGCTCAATCTGCGCCTGGAATGTTCAGCCAAACAATGGAGACATCGGTGAGCAGCACTTTGAATTAACAACGCAGACCCCCCCAAAAAAATGCAAAAACGCTGCATTGGGGGCTTGCGATTGGTAAAACCAAGTAACTTAGAATACAAAGATCCATCATCAGTTTGTGCCAGTACACTGCACAGCCAGTAGATGAGCATGCGGGCAGCAGCCCCTTTCAGTACCTTTTGGGAAAGCGTGCAATAAGATGTCGTTCCCCCCGATAGCAAAATTTTCGCAGTGAATAATCTTGGAGATGCCCGTGCAGAATGAGGTATGCCTACAGTTGGGCACAGCATCGCTCAACAAAAGTTGGGCCCTTCAACTTATCTGGGAGTAAAACCTTTTGGGAGTGAAAGACATACAAATTAATGATATAGGTTTTGCGCTGCAAAGCCATGGAGCCCATGTCGGCGCACCACTGCATATATGACTGGTGCAGCTCTTGCAAGCGCGCTTCGCGAGGATGGGCACGGTCAGTACCAGCTGAGATTTCCTGCAGGGTTGAAGATATCACATCATGAAGTATCTGCAAGTCAACGATGTGAAGTAGATCTGGATAGATTCCTAAGCTGGCATCACTGTCAAAAGGATTTTTTTAGGTGGGGTTGTTTCCTTTTACCTTCAGTTGTAAAAGTTTTTGGGGGAACGCGGAGAAAAGAGTGAATATTCCAAGGGTCGCCATGGAGTAAAGCCTGGGACATTGCACAGCGGGGAATTGCCGTGTACTTCTTCCCATTCTGCGGCATTTGCCAAGAGCCTAGCTAGCTAGCCAAGATGAACTGCAAAGTAAACTTGGTCGGACCTAAAACTGTCAGTGTTTTTTTCTACTGGGGGCATCCTTCAAAAATCGAACTTTTTCAAGAAACGTTGATCTGTGTGCTGCGTCCTGCCCGAAGGCTGTATACAGAAGTGACTCCGGTTCTCCAGGATTGAGAAAACTAACTGCTCCACAGTACTGGCATGCAAATCTTCTCTTGGAGTGCCAAGATCCTCGATTGAGACTGGAACCCAGAACAGCCAGCAAAGCCAAGGTCCTTGCCACTATGACTCTTATTGGGGATACACCCAAAAGCTTTAAATCTGCCGCGTAACTATGTGTCAAACCTTTTGGCTATATATGTCACGCAATTTACTCAGAAAGTATATATGCCAAAATTGTTTTTTTGCAGCGAATGTCTCTTGAAATTGAAGATTTTGTGCAGAAAGTCTTGGTCCCCTTGAATTCCATCCAGAACGCCACGCCACCCGCCACAAAGCTTGGTGCCAGCAAGGAGGCACCACCTAGGGTAGTATGTCGCCGTGAACTTTTTGCCATTCCAGTCATGCGTGGGCCAAACACCGCTACCTGAGACCACACTTGGTTTGTCCATTTTAGCCATCACCCGAATTTAAAATTACTTTACTTCGAGTTATCCCCACCATGACATTCTTACATTTTGTTACTGGCAAATCTTCTGGCATTCTATCTGACATACCTTCTGGCATTTTATCTGGCATATCTTCTGGCATTCTATCTGGTATATCTTCTGGCATTTTATCTGGCATATCTTCTGGCATTCTATCTGGTATATCTTCTGGCATTTTATCTGGCATATCTTCTGGCATTCTATCTGACATTCTATCTGGCATATCTTCTGGCAATCTGGCCATTGAGGTCCAGCGGTGCACACTGAGCTGGGCAGGTCCCAGGTTGAGGTCCAGCGGTGCACACTGAGCTGGGAAGGTCCCCGGTTGAGGTCCAGAGGTGCACACTGAGCTGGGCAGGTCCCAGGTTGAGGTCCAGCAGTGCACACTGAGCTGGGCAGGTCCAAGGTGCACACTGATCTGGGAAGGTCCCAGGTTGAGGTCCAGCGGTGCACACTGAGCTGGGAAGTTGGCAAAGAGCTTGGCGAAGAGAGTTGGCAAAGAGCTTGGCGAAGAGTTGGCAAGGCGGAAGTGCAGGTGGAAGTTGATGCAGACATGGTCGAGGAGAAACTGGAGGAGGAAGAGGACAGCTAGCCGAGGAGGAGGAGAACAACTCTGATAAAATCTAACAACCCTCACCTGGCAGGTGGGGAAAAATACACCTTAACAAAGACGGTGTACAATCTTGGATGCTTTACTGTCAAAGCCCACCGTTTGGACCGTGGTTGCATGTACACGACTGCAGGCAGGAAACTCAGTGCCCGCAAGGACCAAACCAACAGAGCCAGCAGTTTTCCTCGTTCACGTTCTGAAGTATACTGGGTGTTTCTGAGAGACAGCCTTGCCATGGCCAAATGAATTGTCTCCATTCGGATTTGTTCTCTGGAAACATTTTTGGACAGAAACAAAACAATTCACAGGCCCAAGAAACACGATGCGAGTTTTCATAGTGAAGGAATGCTGCGGCGCTACAGCTATCATAGTCAGCAGTTCAAATGCGTTGAGTCCAATAGTGTCAGCCCCATCACCGTAAACCCTGATGGGGAACACCTGATCCATAGGGGCATCATCCGACTCACCCCAATAGCATCTCAACTCCTCGGCCAGATCCGTGTTGTTGTTCCAGTAGTTCGAAATGTCCTTGGCTGGCTCACTACGGGCAAAGCTCTTGAACCTGAAGGCATGTAGGAGAACAATATTCCAAAAAACTTCACGTGAGACATGTAATGTAAACCGGTATTGGATATAGTATAACTGAACTTAATCTCCGTAAATACTTTTCACATCTTGCAGCAAATCAAACAATGGTGAGTTTCAGCTGAGCCACATCAGGCGTGCCAGTCAGGAGGCTGAAGAATAGATCCCCAGATCGGAAATGGTAGAATGCTGACGCGATCTCATGAGGAAGAAAGATCCCCAGCTTGATTGTCTTCAGCTTTGAATGCTCTAGCATATTGGCCTCACTCACCCGAGGGAAATTTGATCTTTTCAAGCCAACCCCCCCCAAAAAAAAGGGCCTGTTCAATGGGAACCACCCCAACAGACTGATGAACTTTTATCATGCGGTCAGGAAGCCATAGTCTGGTTGCATAAAGACTGGAAAATAAATCAGGGTGTAAAAACTGTGGCAAACAAGTTGCTCTTTCAACTGAAATTTCGAAAATTGGTGGCAAGCACTGCCGCCATTCTTGCTCGGCCACCCATGAACTGAAAACGCGTTCAGATGCCCAACCTGCAGCACTCTCAAATTTCTCCCCGAGCTTCAGAATCGATGGCCTTAGAGCGCATGCAAATGGAGTAGGTGGTTAACCTTTGACTTTTGATCCTCATGCATTTGAAGGGCAAACGCACACACCAAAACAACAAACAAATAGAAGCCCCGCATTACAACATTTGGGGAAACCATAAATAGTTGGGGGTGCAGTTCCATCCCCTTTAACTATATATAAGTATAAAACCATATAGTTGCGGGAGTTGCGCTTCAAGGTACTTCCCATTCTTGCTTCCGATCCAAAAAATACCACAACTGCACCCCCAAGTACAAGAAAGGATGGTCTGTTCAAGTTTACTTGCCATGTTTCGGAACCAAGTAGTGTGGCAATTCAAGCAGTGCACTGGTTAGCTCTCGCAAGCGTTTCATTGATCCCTGGGTTGTTTTATGGGGGCCAATGGAAGTCCCATAGAACAATGTGGTACAATAGGAACTTTTTTCAGGGATTTTCAGGGGAAATCTTCATTGATCATATATGTTGATCTTAATAACAGCCATTGGGGGAATGTACAACCCATATTTGCAGGGTATCCGGCAAACACCCCTGTATGCACATATATATGTATATATATATATATATGTATATACATACATACATATATAAATATACATATATATATATATATTTAAAAGTATATATTTAGATAAAAAAATGTACATACATAATACGTATGATTATGTATGTGTAAGCATATCTATTTGTAGATAGATAGATATTCAAAACTTATATAAAGAAAAATTTTACCCAGCCATGCCTCCCCTGTGGATAGGGCAGTCAAGAACTGCTCCACCAGTTTCGGCACACCGCGCGAGGATCTCTTTGCCATTGATGCGCATCAAGATACCTGCGTGGCCACCAGGCAGCACAAGATGGGCATCGGATGGGTATCAAGCAATTGCTCCCTGTATTTTTTCAGTGGTGGTAAGCTGGTTCTTGCATGTGACATATTCTGACCATTGTTCACTGTGGACATGCAGTGCTGAAGCCATTGACTTTTTCTGCTAGTTCGCAAATGCCACACACACATCACGCAGCGTGCAAATACTGCAAAGCATTTCAAAGCAGTATGCCTAAGCTCACTGCATGTTCCTACATGGCATTTTGCCTTGCCCCCCACATGTCAAAAGAAGCCATAGATGGATCAGAATTACTCCATCGTGCTCTCGCGCCCCTGCCAAGTATACAAGACATGCATGGTTCTGATCTGTGTTAAGGGATCCACACATTCAACAAACTGTATTGACTGTTTTCGTCAGCCTCGGTTTCCCACCATTCGATCCAATCGTCATCAGTCCAATGGACATTGGACCCCTGATCGCTCTTGTCGGAATTCCCAATTTTTTTCTTTTGGCCTCATGTATGATTTCCAAACTCACTGTGCCCAAATTACGGGGCACAAGAAACGGCGACCAAATCCAAGGTTCAAACGGCGCTTCAAAGCATTTGCAGCAGACTTCGCAGATTCGATGGCATCTTCGTATTTCTGCAGGATCGGTTGGATGCCACGGCTGCAAGTGGAAATGTCCGGGCTGTGCAAGGGATAAAAAAATGCGAACATGAGACATGATTTCATTTTCTATATCCTTGATTGTATGTTTCAAATGCTTTGCAACGGTACCCTTAGATGATACAGAGTGCAAAAAAAGTAGTTCACCCATATGTGCCTTTAATCCCCTCTGGAAAGTTACCCTAAATTTTAGGGTACTTGTTTTTAATAAAAAGTGTTGCTTTAAACGATCGCGATACAAAAGGATCTTTCAAAACCCTTACCGTTGGAGGGACAAAAAGTTACCCTAAATTTTAGGGTACTTGTTTAAAGAAAAAGTGTTGTTTTAAACGATCGCAATACAACGAGCACATGCAGCGATAACGGGATGAGTCTTGTGGGAAATGTATTCTGGAATCTGGAAGGTTCAGTGGATCTTTTTTTGGATGTTGCATGCATATGCATGTGTGCAAGTTTGTTTCCCAAAAGCTTCAAGATCTTTCAAATACAACTTTTCTGGCATACATGTATTATGTATATGAATAGTTTTTGGGTACATTGATCAACATAATAAACACGTATAAATGATCATGATTTGGAGATAATCAATTTCCCTTGAAAAGCGGGTTCCAAAAGAAATGGCTGTTCCAAGCCGAGTTCCTGAGTCCAATGTTTTTTGAAAAAATGGAGGTCACCAACAATGAATTTTGATCCACCCCATTAATAACAAAATTTCCTTTGAAAGGGTCCTCAAGGTGAAAGGGGTCCTGGCCTAGAAGCCTCCAAGATTAATTGCGACCGAGTTTTTGCCTTTATATGAAAAACTCGGTCGAAATTAATCTTGGGGGCTTCGCACGCATAAGGAACATTCTTGGCCAGGACCTCTTTCATTTCAAAGGAAATCTTGTTTAATGTGAATTCCTGTCGTTTGAAACCCTTATTCAATGGAACATTCTTGATTTGCACATATATAAAAACAATCCGTGGGATTTGCAAGGTGTTCAGATGCGTTCAGTGACATCGACAACCCACATCACTATTTACCATTTTCATTCAAACTATGGTAGGACCACAAATCTTCTCAAGTTTTGCGGGGTAGACCCCCAAATCTTTGGGGACTTTGGGTGTGATAAATGACAGGCCTCAATCTCAGGCCGCTTCAGACGGTAGGTCTCCAACACAGTATGGGCACTGGATCCTTTAGCAAATTTGTTCTCCAACCTTAGTACCAAACTTGTTGGGCTGCTGTTGCAATGGTCACATTCTCAAACTTGATTGAACAATCCTCCCTTTGAATCCTGATGCCTTGATCTTGATTGTTGCTGGGGGTGGGGCCCCGAAGCCATGGAAGAAAGCTCCTGGAAGATGCCCATGCACTCTGTTCTCATCGCCTGACATAACCGAAGCAACAGTGCGAAGAATATCATAAATACAAGATAAGTGAACGGGGAAGATAAAGGGCACCAATAATAAAATGGTTGAAGGTTGCAGCCTTTCCTACCGATCGAACTCAAAAAAGGTCAAAGGGCTATGGCCAAACCAAGAACTTCACAGAGCTTCGCTGCCCAGGTATCTTGCCTCGTTGCCAGCAAGCGAATGGAGCGTCTGGCTGGCATCGCGAGCTTTGTTTGCCAAAGATTTGACCCTCGGCAGCAGAGAGCATGAGCGACTGGGAATCTGTGGAAGCAAACCAGAAACAATCCTCAGGGTGAAGCCCTCTGATTGCCTTTTCAAGATCCTTTTTGTCTTGCTTCTGTTGCTGCACCTTTCAGAAACAAATGGCACCAGATGTTTGGCGGAATAACATGCAAAAAAAGAAACCATTATCTTTCTTGAAGATATCAGTTGTCGCCTCTGGGCTCTCCTCAGCAGCAGGGGTCTGCCTTTGGCCCTGGCCACGACCTCGCCTTCTTGTTCGGTTGTCATCAGTATCGTCATCAGAATCCTTCCTACTTTTCTTCCCTGAAAGCGGAACCATGGAATCATACATCGCCGCGATTGCTTTTTTGGTGGCCTCCTCCTTTGGGTCAGGCTTTGCAGGTGATCCTGATTGTTCGGAACCATCCCCATCTGCATTGGCAGGTGGATTGAGCTCAACTTCTGCCACCTTCGACATCTTCGTCTTTGCCACATTCTCATGGCCGCCTCGGCTGCATTTAAAGGCAAAAAGGTGCATCGAAAATAATCAGAAGAGGTTGCGATCAAACAGTGAAAAACATGCGGTCATTGAACTAAAAACTGAACAGTTGTATAGTTGTAATGATTTTTCATAACTCATGGCATCCTAAGGTTTCAAACTTTTTGCAATATCATCATCCAACACTGGGAAAACCTTGCAGAAAAATGGCAAGGGTGAAAGCTAAAATTGAGACAACCAAGCCAGGCCCACTCTTGTGCTCTGTGAACTTGTAGACTTTGTATACTCGGTACTTTGGGTTGTTCCGAAACTGGCACAGCCAAGGGTTTTGGTGGAACTGGCAAAAGCAGGATTGCAATGACGAGAGAATCATGGCAGAACTGGAGGCCATGCATGGGCCATGCCTGGCGGTCTGGATGGGGCCTTCCTTTCTGAGACTTCTGGATATCTTGGATAAAGTCCCTGGCAAACAGTTGAACATATTATATATGCAAGGTGCAAAATATGATCAAAAGCATTGGCTGGCAAGGAAATAGAAGCGCCTCCCAGCTTCAGTGCCCCCATATCGGATTTCCAGCTCGAAGAGCGGCAACTCAACATAAATGTCATCCTGCTTCACCCGGTTTTTCCTGGGGCAGGAATCGACCGAGGGGTTTGGATAGACATCCAGCCAACACTGCGCCATCCCAATTAGTCCCATGGAGCCCATGGGGCCCAGGATTTTCCAATTAAGTTCGGCAATGCCCCAATTGGCTTAGAACGGAACACATATATAATAGTGAAATGGCCCCTGTCAATTTTCTCTCTAAGCTGATAGCCATTCAGGAAAATTTGTTAACCCAAAAGTATTCATGTATAACTGTTTAACCTTCATTTTATTTAAACGATATGTGATATGTGCATAAATAAGAATTTGTATCATGTATGCATGCATCCATGTATGACCTTGTGATACTTGGTTGAAGGATGTGTTTGTTAGCCTGTTGTTGTTATGCTTTTTCCTTCTATTTGAATAGGGATGTGGAAATGGTGGGAATGTAATGTAAGTACATATATATATATATATACATGTATGTGTCCCTTCGAATTTGAGTCAACTTACGTGAAGTAAAGTTTGAAGTAAAGGATGAAAAAAGTCCGATGGCAATTTCAGAGTTCCCAACCTGATCAATACACCTTTGCAGGTTTACTAATGTGCAACCGTGTTTTTGGAGACCTCGGTGACCCAGGACTGCTTCTAAACTATTCTAAACCTTCTTTGGGAGACCCCGGTGACTTCGAAAAGGTTTCTGGGAAACGAGCATCAAAATAGAATGTTGATAATCAAAACACGTGGATAAAAAAAACATAGGCTGAGTATAGCCCCATGTTTTGTGTGACACGCAAACCCGATTCAGCTGAATCTCGATGCGACCGAGCCCTCGATCTGCACACTCCGCCTAGGACAATGGCAGCTACAGCGATGCTAAGATCTCTGGCCGTGGTTCTGTGCTGATGCTGCTTGGGCGCATCTCGTCTGCAAGCAAGAATTCCTTCAGCAATTGGAACCTTATCAGACAAAAGGAACACAAGAGAACTTTGGAGATTGATTTCATTGAGTGCAGGGCTTCTTGCTGTGGTTCCCAGCTGCTGCGGCATATTTTTCCATCAGTGAGGCAGGCAGATCTGGCATCAAGGTTTTTTGCCAGCTGAAGTCAAGCACAACGATCGTCATACACACCATGTATTGTTTCAGAAGATTGTATATGAAAAGATTTAGCATGCATGCTACATACCAGCCTCCTTGGTTGAATCTCCTGTCCATGGCCGCATACAAGCATCTTCGCTCCTCATGGTAGAACATTCACATCTATAATGGTAAAATTGCAGCGGGGGTGCCAAAAGAAATCCACAAGTCTCCTTGACATCGAGCTGGCTAGGTGCTGCAAGACCTGATATCACCTCTTTCTGTTCATCAGACAGATGCTTCACCTCAGGCACACAAATCAAAACCCCTGACCTGCAAGCCTAGGTATGAGTCGGTATGAGCTGGGATATTCAGTTTCTGGCTCTGCGCAAACGTCCATTGCCGTCACGGACAGCAAGGCCCTTGACCACGCCATCCTGTCAACACATTTTTTGGGCTTGTCACAAGGTTATATGATTGTTCATGTATCAATCTGAGAAATGAACTTGTGGAACTGTTGTGGATGTATCAGATCGCCTCCTTAGTCAAATCCCATGCAAAGAGGAGAGAACAGCATCAGAAGAAATCCAGAGCTGCATGGTTTGGGACCGAAATGGAGTTATAAAACCAAGGAAGTTCCAGGGCAAGTCATGCCACTTGTTGATTTGGACTTGTACATGCAAGCCAAGTAGCAGTTTTGAAGCACCACCTGCATGGCACGTCGTGTCAGCACAAGCACACACATGTAATGGCAAGATGTTGCATCATAAAAAAAACAGCCTAAATATCAGGAAATTATCTCATAGAGAAATATATAGTTTACAGCCTGTAAAGGGACATGAGTTGGAAAGTAAAACCATGCAAGCCTGCAGGCTTGTCCTCAGTAGCCTCCTTGGAAGCCTTCTTCGTCTTTGTCTTTTCCTCAACTTCCTGTTTGGCTGCAAAATGGCTAATGCCAAGTTGTTTCTTTGCTGTCAGTTTGGGTCCAGTGCTTGTTGGTGGATACTGCCTTGGAGTCCTGATGACATGTTTCAAGTCTTCCAGTTTTGACTGAGTCATAGCGTTTGTGGTGCAACACGCCTCTGCGGTTGGCTTTGCAGCTTTCAACCTTCGCCTTTGAGATGGTGACTCTGGATAGTGCAAAGTCTCTGCGTCTCCATCTTCAACTGTGTCATGGGCAGGTGTCTCCACTCGGGTCTTGGGTTTCTTTGGCTTGGGATCTGAGGTGGATGAGTCAGCACTGGCTGTCTTCTCGATCTCTTCTGGAACCAACTGGTCTGAGCTTTTGGCCTTTCTCTTCTTCTTTTTTTCACTACACTTCTCCAGGGGAGTGCCCTCCTTTGCATCATCATCCGTCTTCACATGGTTGGTCGACTCATCATCTCGCTGGCGTTGTTTCTTCTTGGGAACCTTTGCAACATCACCTGTCTCCGTGCCATCCTTGGTCTGTGGCGTCGACTCATCATCCTGTTCTACATCCTTTGGTTGTTTCTTCTTCTTCTTGTGTGTGGTCTGTGGCGTCGACTCATCATCCTGTTCTACATCCTTTGGTTGTTTCTTCTTCTTCTTGTGTGTGGTCTGTGGCGTCGACTCATCATCCTGTTCTACATCCTTTGGTTGTTTCTTCTTGGGAACCTTTGCAACATCACCTGCCTCTATGCAATCCTTCTTCTTGTCTTTGGTCTGGGGCGTCGACTCATCACCCTGTTCTACACCCTTCTGTTGTTTCTTCTTCTTGTGTTTGGCCTCTGGCGTTGACCCATCATCCCGTTCTACCTCATATGGTCTCTTGTTGGGAACCTTTGCAACGTCACCTGTCTCTGTCTCTTGTCCCTCAGACTTCTTGTTTTTTTTCTCTTTCTTCTTTTTGGGTTCTGCGACGTCGCCTGGACTCTCTTCAGACGGGGCTGGAACTTGCTTGCCAGCACCACGACCATGACCTTTGGCCTGTGCTAAAGCCCCTTTCAAAGACATGAGTGCCAGAAGAGCCTTACTTTTTCCTTTGCCTTTCCCCTTTTGGGTTTCAACAGCTTTACTTTCCGGGGTCTTGGACCGACATCTTCTCGTTGTGGGTCTGTCGGGTGTGACGTAGCTGCCTTCATCCTCGTTTTCAGCCCTGCAGGCAGCAAAGAAAGGAGCGTTGATCACTGGAAAGTCTCTGGTGGCTGATCAAATGCAGCTTGGCGGCATCGATATCCACTTGGGACTCCTCAATTCTGGAAACGTGAATTTCACGAAATTTCACGTTCAGCTACCCATATGGTCGATCTATATGGTCATATTCACGAAATTTCACGTTTCCGTTTTTGGACAAAATCGTGAATTTCATTAAAGAAATCCCCTAGAGTGATGTCAAATTAGTGAAATTCATGTTTTGTTGATTGACTTATCAGATTATACATCATATATATATACACGTGAAATCCCAAGTCAGTGGCGAATGGATTGTCATGCAAGAATCGTGAATTTCACGAAAGGCGTGAAATTCACAAACATTCTGAAGTGGCAACTGGCGTCATAACACTTCATGGAACTGACGTGAAATTCATAAGGCTTCAAACTGCATATAATAGCCGCAGCCAAGCAGCAGTGGCAGCGGCAAGAGCTAAGTAGCTGGTCTTGAGATTGCAATGATTCGGTCAAGCTGGCACATAGTAGCGGGATCTGCATTCCAGCCCCCTTCAAACCAATTTCAACAAGTGACCTAGAGCAGGTTGTTGTCACCCCCAAAAAAACATTCCAGGTCACTTCAGAAATTGAGTGAAAAGCTCGTTGCAAACTATCGGACCCCCTTCAAGCCAATTTCAACAAGTGACCTAGAGCAGGTTGTTGGCACCCCAAAAAAACATTCCAGGTCACTTCAGAAATTGAGTGAAAAGCTCGTTGCAAACTATCGGACCCCCTTCAAACCAATTTCAACAAGTGACCTAGAGCAGGTTGTTGGCACCCCAAAAAAAAACATTCCAGGTCACTTCAGAAATTGAGTGAAAAGCTCGTTGCGAACTATCGGATCCCCTTCAAACCAATTTCATTAAGTGACCTAGAGCAGGTTGTTGGCACCCCCAAAAAAACATTCCAGGTCACTTCAGAAATTGAATGAAAAGCTCCGTGCAAACTATCGGACCCCCTTCAAACCAATTTCAACAAGTGACCTAGAGCAGGTTGTTGGCAACCCAAAAAAAACATTCCAGGTCACTTCAGAAATTGAGTGAAAAGCTAGTTGCAAACTATCGGACCTCCTTCAAACCAATTTCAACAAGTGACCTAGAGCAGGTTGTTGGCACCCCCAAAAAAACATTCCAGGTCACTTCAGAAATTGAGTGAAAAGCCAGTTGCAAACTATCGGACCCCCTTCAAACCAATTTCAACAAGTGACCTAGAGCAGGTTGCTGGCACCCCCAAAAAAAACATTCCAGGTCACTTCAGAAATTGAGTGAAAAGCTAGTTGCAAACTATCGGACTTTTTTCCCCGTTCAGACAGCATCAAGACCAGCGAGGCACTCGTTCTGTTGACAGCGCCAAAACCCCTTAAATCATATGTGGATTAATCCAGCATATGTTCCACACCGCTGTCTGAGGAATCATCTCCTATGTTATCGAACTTCAGGCTGGCATCGGGGGATACTTCCGGTTTGTGCTCCTGCCTTAGATATTGTGGTTCTTCAAATTCACTTCTCGAAATTGAAAATTGGAAGTTGATGCCGAAGAAACACAATCCCATTTTTAAGCCCAGTAGCACATAGGTACTCAGCAGAGATCCCACCTAGAAAGCCAACTTAACCAAAAACGAATTTCAGAATGCAAGCAAAATCAGAAAACAATAACCGTTTCCCAGCCTTCAGTCCCAGGTTGATGGGGTACATTCCCGATTGGGTAAGGTGAGGGCCACCTTTGATTTTTTTCTGACCTCGTTTGTCTCGGTAGTGGCGAACCAACTTCAGGTTCAACGTAGATTTGAGGCGAGCCAAGCGCTCCCTGGCAATGAGGTGTCCCAAACTGTAATGGGCAGAAAGTACCCTGAAAACATGCTGCAACTGATTCAAATTTTACATCATCAAATTATGGCCTTTGGCATGGATCGATCGGTTTTCCCAATCCAAGTAGGTACGGAGCTGTGGTGTACAAGGTGACTCTCTTCCTGAGCCAAGCTGATCCATAGTTGCCTAAATCAAAAAAAACTCCATCGTGAAATCTCTCCTGGCTTTCCTGCAGAATGATAGCATGGGGGGTTATCAAGGGTAATCCCTTTATGGACAATTTTATCTTATTGGGACAATACAGGGACTTTCTTTGATCAGGAAATGGACCCTATTGATCTTCGATTGCTATTTCTGAAATTACCTTGAAACCTTCAGTGCGAAAGAGCCACTCACTCAGTGCTCCGTAGGCACCCAGTGGAACGCTGATAGCTCTGCATCCGTGTCGCTTCAGCATTGCCTGGCAACGTGGCTGCAGGTCTGACGGGAAACAAACACTCCATTCTGAAGTTGTGGTGGCGCATGGATATTTAAAATTCTTGGTCATGCAACATGCCTCCATCGGACGGTACGTCCACAGAAGGCTGGACATTGGATTTTCTATGCAGTAGTGGAGTCCTTTTTTGTGGCAATATTCGCACCTTGGGTGTCGATAAAAAACGTTGAACAAAATCTATTTTTTTGGCACAAGCTGTTCCAGGTTTCAGATCGAATGCGGCCAAGCAGCAAGTAAATCATACGGCGAATCAGCCTATTGGCTCGACGCACATTTCGATACCTTTTCGAACCTGGCAATGAAAAAGAGAGAGAGAGAGAAGCAGTGATCCACGGATAGGTTATACAATGTTGAGTGCATAAATATATAAATATATATATATATAATTAAGCAAATAAATATACAGATATATGTGTGCAAACAAAAAATGTGTATATATTATTTGTGTGTGTGCTCTCCCTAAATGTTTGCATTTTTTGAGGTATGTGCATATGCACATATTCATATATTTTTCTTACACACACAGTATCATTCACACAGTCATGCTTAACCACACAGTAAATCAACATCAGCATAAATACATGTCATATAAATATATAATCATGCAAGATAATACACCCACAGCATCCCACAGCGGTACAATTGATAAATTCGTCAGGCACCTCTTGGCCTTGTAAAGGTACGACCGGTACTGCCACGAGCTAGATAAATCCATGTGGAACATGGTGGTGCCACCCACCAAAGACACCCCTTTCGGAGAGTGCGTACCTGCGCACAAGCGCCATGCATAGTGTCACCAACCCAAGCCCCAGCAATAACAAGTTGGAAGATTAGACATCCCAAAAACCCAAGTGAACACAATGAATGAAAAAAAAAACACATTCCAGATTTGGTTGCCAGGCACCCCCTGCAGAGCCGCGAGGAAACCGCATGTAGTCAAAAGATCCATCAGCGGATTGTATTTCACCTAGTAGATGCCAAGTGTAACATTGCACATGGATGTACATTTTTCACTAGCTTGGCCACAAAGTTTCAACAGCACATGCCTACCACAGACTAATTTTCTGAAGCACCCTGAAAAGTTTTGCAAGCAAGCCACATCTCGACGGGCAGCTTGAAGATGAAACAGTCGAGTGGCGCAGGCAATATTGCCAACTCCAGCACAGTCCTCCTGCAAATGGGTACTGGTCTCCTCCGTCACTTCCCCAAAAGCGCGGAGAAGCACAACAACAAGCGTCGCAAGCTCTGCAAACCGCATGGCTCACAAGGCAAGCCACCTACTAACCAGCTGACCTTGAAAATGGCCCTGGGTTTGTAATTCAAAAAACTTAGCTGGAAATGCAAGCACTCACTGCAAGTACTCAGTAGGTTGAGCGAACAAAGCAGCATTGGCAAGGAATGGGGTGGGCGCACCACTCCACAACCATTTGTATCCCCAAAGGCCTGCAGCCGAGCAAGCATGCCAAGTACAACAAACACCTAAGTTTGTGAACATGTGACTTTCACAGAAAGACTCAGCGGCTGAAGCATGATTTTTGTGCCACTTCGATTGTTGTTCTGACAGCTGCGCTTGTTGCTTTGCAACCTCATTGGCCTCACAAGACCTTTCGGACCTGTGCTATGCCAAAACCCAAGGGTTGTCCCTCCAGAGAATATGTTCGGGCAAAGTCGTTGATACTACAAAATGCCACCAAAGCTGACATCTTAATAGGGGAAAGAGAACCGCCTAATTCAGAACTATAAAATCACGCATGGCCCAGCCTCATTCTCGCAAACCCTAAATCCTAAGACTAAGATTGTAGAGGCCCACAGCAGGCACAGCACTGGTGGCTGAGCCATGTTGGAAAACATTCCAGCTCAAACCCATGGCCATGTATGGGTCACTTTCAGTTCCCTGGGCATCCAACATAAACCAAAAGAATTGAAACAGAATATGAAAACCATCCACAAGCATGAACCCGTGAACCCTTAATGGCCCCAAAGCGCATCCAACCCTGTAGATAACATATCTAACTGTACCTACGGCGCTTTTGCTCAGAGTAGGACATGGTGTTCACGATTTCAGCACGCTCACTTGACGTACCCCATGCTTTCAAGGCATCCCTGTATGACAAGCCATCAGCCTGACGTCGACCCTTGATGTACTCCTTCATGACTTCGGTCAAAGGCCCCTGGTTCGGCTTTCTGGGTTTCTTCTCCTGTTTCTCTTTCTTATCTTTCTTGGCTTTGGCTGCTGCATTCTTCTTAGTTTTTTTCTCCGTCTTCTTTGTCTTCTTTGGCTTGTTTCCAGCGGCCTTCATTTCCTTTTCCAAACGCTTTGCAGCCGCCAGCTGGGTTTTTTTCAAAGGGTTTGGAATTGCAGGTGGAGTATCCAAGGCATCCAAGTCTGGGAATTGATGCACCAAACGACAAGGGGTGGCATCAGGCTGAGGTGCATAGCATGGCGCGTGAGCTGAGGTTGGGGCACCATCATATGCATCCTTCTCCCATTCCATAAGTTCACAAGCCAGCCGGTGGTCCTTGGAACATCGGTCGTTCATCACCTCATCGTCGATGACAGCAAGATCCTTCAGAAAATCACAAGATCATTGCGAGGCCAGGGTGCAGGTAAAAGATCAAGGATGTGGCAAAGCAATAGGAAACTAGAAAAACCGAAAAATCCTCAAGCTAATGAAAACGAGATGGTACCAAATATGTATATACACATATATATATATATGTATGTATATGTATATGTATATACCGGTCCTTCTGGTTGTTCTCACTCTTGGTTTCTCCATGGCATGAATCCTGCACCAAAAGTTTGCGCAGGATCTAGGACAAGTAAGTTGAAGATTTGTCATAAGAAAATTGAATCTGGACGAGCAAGCATATGTAAACTGAAGAAAAAATCAAACAGCCCTTGAACCAATGAAAATGAGGTGACAGAGTATGTTGGTCCTCCTTCTGGTTGTTCTCGCTATCGGTTTCTCTGTGTCGTGCGTCCTGCACCAAAAGTTTGCACAGGATCCAGGATGCTTGCAAGTAAGTTGAACCTTTTTTCATGCTGGACGATGAAGCATATGGCAAAGTAACTGTGATAAGCCCCCAAGCTAATGGAAACAAGGTGGCAAAAAATGTTGGTCCTTCTTCTGCTTGTCCTTGGTTTCTCCGTACCATACGTCCTGCATCCAAAGTTATGCACAGGATCCCTGATGCTTGCAAGTGAGTTGAAACTTCCTCATCAGTACATTGAACGCAAAAAGATGAAACATATGGCTAAGCAGCTGTAAACTGGAAAAGTTGAGTTCGCAAAGTTACTATCGGATTAGGTGAGAAAAAATGTTGGTCCTTGTTCGTCTTGTTGTTGGTCTTGGGGTAGCATCCATCCTCCTGCAACGACAGCTTGGCACGGGATGCATGCAAGTAAGTTGAACAACGCAAGTAAGTTGAACATAAATTTCCTGATGCCAGATCAAATGACAGCAAAAAAATGATCCTTGAACCACTTCTCTCTGAGTCGTGGCCATTCGGTCTCCGAAACCACACCCTCGTAGATCAGCTGCTTCATCATCGATTTCATCGCCTTGTTCTGCTCTGGGCTGGTGGTGCAGTACTCCTGCATGCACATATGGCAAGAACCCTCACTCTCACACACACACAGCACACTGGCAAAAGTATAGGTGAGAAACTATAAGCCACACTAAGTCAGCGCAATTGTTCATATATGTGCCTGGCTTTCATTGTCGAAGAACTGCCACGGAGTGTCATCCTAAGATCAAAAGCTCCATCTATTTTTTGTTCGGCTAGTACCACAAAAGCATAATCACAACCACATGCAGGTACAAAGAAACTTTGAACTTTGGACAAAGATGTTTGGATGGTTTCGCATGTGTCAGAAATTAATACGAAATTGAGGCATGTGCTGGCCACAGCTTCCAATCCTGAATGCATCCAGAAGCATGGAAGTAAAGATAAACTAACATCAAATATACTTTGCACAAATTGCCCTAGCCTGCAACGTTGGAAAGTCATCCCAGTCACTGGTAGGGTCCCAATCCTCAATCAATAGCACTGTAGTTCAATGGCTTTTCATTTTTTGAAGACAGAAAAATGCGACTTACCCGCTTTGGGATCCCGACTGCCCATTCATCGTCATCCCAGACATCGGAACCACCACCGCCAAACAAGGCCTGCAAGAGTAATATGTACAAGAAAACCCGTGCGTACTTGCAGCAAACATGCGAACTAGCAACAAAATCAGTAAGCCTGAAACTCAGGATCAGCTTCGCCCTCACCGAAGCACTTAAGGAATTCCTTCAAACCAACCTTAGCCCCAGAATTCGGGACAACAGCACCAAGGAAGAACAGGAACACTGTGAGGACAAGACCTTCCCCTCATGACTGTCTTCGGCCAGGGCCTGAAGCGACACACCAGCTGAAATAAAAATGCGCGCTGCATGCACTAGCTACCCAGCCTCAAACTCATATTCCTGCTCTTCTTCATCAAACCGGTCCTACCCACTGCATCCCAAAAACCTGTTGGAATCACATCGGGCAAACAACGCCACAACCTATGTGGACATATATGTGTATCAATCTTTTTTTCCTATCAATCTATCCAACCACCCAATGTTTACATAGACATCAAATAAATATATATATATAAATGTATTTATGAAGCTTATATGCATGGGTAAAGATATAAATATATATATATATAGAAATATACACTGAAGATAGCCTCGTCAGCCGGAATGTCGTCACCAGCGTCCTAGCATGCAAGAATATGTAAAGGCAGCTAGGAGATGGGCCAGTACCCAGCAGCCACCTACTACAGAACATGTGTTGAAGGGAAGTGGACACAGAAAACGCTGTCCTGAATTGGGCTGCCAAATTCATGCAACCAGTCCTGCAACAGAATTTCGACGCCCAGACATGGCCAAACACATGCAGCATCGCCGTTTACTCACATTCAAGTTTGAGAAAAAATTCAGCATCAATACCAAAATACGCGATATGAAACACATCACCCATCAGTGTCTAAACTACCATAGGGCCCTTATAGATAGTACCAACTAAACTAAACATAACAAATTCAGTCCTCCATCTCTCCAGTCCCCTGATCGTCCAAGTGCTCCTGAAAGAAAGTCATAGCAACAAACAACAAGCCTCCGAGAAACTACAAGATAGAACACCTACTATAGGGAGTCCTCATGGGTAGGATCGTCTTTGCTGCAGTGACCCTGCAAGCAACACGTTTTTGACATATGAACCATCCCAATGAAACAGACAAAGACATCAGCATAAAAATCAACCCCCATCCTCTTCAGGCAGGGCTTCGGCATCGTCCTGGAAGTGACACTGGTTTGAAATTATCAGCCGACGAATGACCTGAAACACTTGCAAAAATAATTGAGGCAACAAACTATGAGACAACCCAATCCTCAGCACCGGTGTCGTGTTCTTGTTGGGTATCTTCCCATGTATCCTCGTTTGCAAGCTCGCAGGCATATACTAACATGTTTTTTTTGGAAGTTCAGCGTGCAAACACAGAGAGAGAGAGAGAGAACAAAAGCTCGTTCCTCCCATCCACCTGGTCCACACGCGTTGGCCTAGATGGAAAACATGTTTCGGTCTTCAGACTGACATGCACAGAACGTTGATGTAAAATATGACATTTAAGATGTGAAATCATCAAAATGATCCTTCAATTTTTGAAATTGCAAACATTTCGGAACATGACTGAGTGTGGAGCCCAATTGGTCTCAGATTCCTGAGGCTGTGATTTTTTGATTTCCTGATATGTCATTTCAAAAACTCATGCAATGCCAATCTGAGGAATGTGTTGGGTCGCTGACCCATGGCTGCGTTTCGAGATGGTCCATGGCGCAGTCCTGCGAGCATACAGCATGGAAGGAGATCTGGGACGGCAATGAGGGATGAGAATCAACTCGTTCAGAAAAATGAAATGGTCTTGAATTCTGATTTTTCATTCGTCAACGTTTAGAAAATTTATTAGTTGGCGTTCAGTCATCCAGTGAATAAGTGGATAGCCCAGCGTGTCCTCTAATGCCAGCTCCTTCAGGGGTGCGAGGTCTGTTTTTGAGCCAGCTGGGACGCACCGTGCACGGCAGGATTATTCCAAACATGCACCCCGATATAATTGAATTTGGGTCAGCTATATGTTTTCAAAACCACGTGCCTTCAGTCGCTTTGCTTGCCGTATCAAATAGCCAAGCCGTTTGCTTTGCTGGTTGACGAAATTGCCAAATGTCTTTGAGGGGTCCATTGGGACATCAATGGTTCGTAGCAAAACGCGAATAATTTGCTTCAACATCGGCTTGGTCCACACCCGGCCATTGAATGTATGAACCCAATCAAGGAGCTCTTTGTTGGCCAGTTTTTTCATAGAGCCCCGGGGAAACAGTTGACCAGTCATTTGGACCTGGTCAACATCCATGCGAGCTTTGATAAGCTGGGCAACATCAAAGGCAGTGCGGTTTCGTTGATATCTTTGCTGAGCAGCCCTTCCCTGTCCCCATGGCTTTCGGGTGACACCGTTGCGAACAACAGTCCTTACCATGGCAGGTTTTGGATTTGATGGACACCTAAAGCAATAATGCTGCGAACCCAGACTTGTGAATCACAGAAGGTGTTGTTGGCATCCACCTGATACCATTAAGCCATTAAGCTGCACACACGAGACCGCAGGACCCGCCTGCAGCTGGACCATGGCCACTATGAGATCAGCCGTCAGCAGCGAAGCCATCACTATGGAAAAACCAGAGTTGATACAAAAAGTAAAATTTGAAATTAATTCACGCTTAGCGACCCCACGTGATTTGTTGTGGGAACAGCCATGGCTCTAGTGACTCCAGTGTGGCTAGTGCACGTGCGTACTGTCAATAGATGGATATGAAATTACATCTTCAAGATAGTACACTTGCCAGCAGCTGGCAACTTAGTCACCGGGACGGCACGGACGAGAGCGCAAACTCAAAATATTTACTTTCAGTAAGATTCACAGTAGGTTCCACAAAATGTCAATATTTGGGGAAAGTGTTATCCCAAAATCTTTGATATGATTATGCCCCCTGAAGGTTCCAAACAAAATTCCTCATGATAGCCCCTTACCACAGAGAATCAACCCTTTCGTTTGGATCCCTTGTCTTTACATATTGTATATGCACATGGGTCGTGATCATCCACCCCATCATGGGCCTATTATTGGATTTGATTCCTATCCCCAAACACCCTGGGCATCAGTGATTTTTTGACCATGGTAGCTTTGGTATGGCCCCATTTCAAAACTTTTTTATGGTTTACGGTCATACCTCTCCGAAATCAACGAGGTTTTGCAAATGATCCAAATTGTGTGTGGTGTTCACCAAACGGAAAAAACAACAGCCAGCCGTTTCATCATGACTGTTTCACCCCAAAGTCCGCATGGATAGCGGCAGCAATCCCAAAAAAAAGATACGCACCTGCTTTCCATGGGTGAGATGCAAGGTGGATAACTCGACATCCCCTCTTTTAAATGCGAAAATTAACGGGGCGAGGAGCACCCGCCGAGATGACAGGTTTAATTGTTCAGCTGTCAAATTCTCACAGTGCTCGATTCGTTTTTTGAGTGCCACTTGAACTTCATCAAATCAAATTGTTGACCTCCAATTTCTCAGCTTCACTTTGGTTTCAGAAAGAAACCTATCACACGCAAATGAAGAATCCACGGGGCATGACAAGTTGGGAATGTATATGTTTGTATTTCTATAGTATTGTTTTGGTATCCTAAAGGGGAAATGGAAATAGGAAGGTATAAATATATACATACAATATAGATTATATATTTACATGATTAATCATTTACATAGGCTTGGGTTTGTTTACGTTGATGATAGTTACTTAGATAGATAGATAGACAGATAGATAGATAGATAGACAGATAGATAGATAGTAATAGATAGACAGATAGATAGATAGATAGGTAGATAGATAGATAGATAGTTAGATAGATAGATAGATATATATATATATGTGTGTGTGTAAAGATGCTTCGACACTGTATATGTATGATTATATATTGTATGTAGGGTTCTTGATAGGAAGAACCCTACATTATACTTTTCCCTTTTCGCGCAAACATGGCACCTGAGCGCTCCAGGTCCATGCAATCTAGGGTGCCCGTATAGCACAGGCATGTCTGTACAAGTGCCAAGCGAGGTGGCGATGCATGAGATCCTGTACAGATTGCGGAATTCGGGCCCTGGCTTACATGCTAGCAATCCCCTTGCGAATGTTAACAACCTTGGTAGGAAAGTCGCGATTCACTGTGTTTTCCAATGATTTGTGGCTCCGGAGGGTCAAAAAGTAGGCTCGCTAAAGCTGGCCTGAGATCATGTACAATGGCTTTGGGCATGGCTGCTGCAATCCCCTTACGAATGTGTGTCGAATGCCTTCGAACCACAAGGACCGTCCCTTGCCGTCATTTGACTACAAGGGTCGGTCCTTCTTGGTCGCTGCAATACTGCAACCTCGCGAACCAATCTCCAGTGTACTTGCCAGGTACGTAGCAATATCACAAGCTGTTCTCCGTCAGATAGAGCGAACTCCACGATGGTTGTGCTATCAGGGAAGGTTGCGAATGCGTTCCGAATGCCTTCGAACCACAATTGGACCGTCCTTGCCGTCATTTGACTACAAGGGTCGGTCCTTCTTGGTCGCTGCAATACTGCAACCTCGCGAACCAATCTCCAGTGTATACCTGCCAGGAACGTAGCAGGACCGTCAGATAGATCGAACTGCACAATGCAATTATAGTTGCTGCTATCAGGGAAGGTTGCGAATGTGTCCCGAATGCCTTCGAACCACAAGGACCGTCCCTTGCCGTCATTTGACTACAAGGGTCGGTCCTTCTTGGCCGCTGCAAAATACTGCAACCTCGCAAACAAATCCAGTCTATACTTGCCAGGAACGTAGCAGGACCGTCAGATAGATCGAACTGCACGATGCAATTATAGTTGCTGCTATCAGGGAAGGTTGCGAATGTGTCCCGAATGCCTTCGAACCACAAGGACCGTCCCTTGCCGTCATTTGACTACAAGGGTCGGTCCTTCTTGGTCGCTGCAATATACTGCAACCTCGGAAACCAATCCAGTCTATACTTGCCAGGAACGTAGCAGGATCAAGCTTGTGATACTTCCATGCAGCTACCATCAGATAGATCGAACTGCACGATGCAATTATTGCAGGTGCTATCAGGGAAGGCTGCGAATGTGTCCCAAATGCCTTCGAACCACAAGGACCGTCCCTTGCCGTCATTTGACTACAAGGGTCGGTCCTTCTTGGTCGCTGCAATACTGCAATCTCGCAAACCAATCTCCAGATTTGCCAGGTACGTAGCAAGATCACAAGCTGTATACAACTTGTGATACTTCCAGCTACCATCAGATAGAGCGAACTGCACGGTGCAATTATTGCAAGCCTGCAGGGAAGGTTGCGAATGTGTCCCGAATGCCTTCGAACCACAAGGACCGTCCCTTGCCGTCATTTGACCACAAGGGTCGGTCCTTCTAGTCGGGCAAATACGATCACTTGGGTGATCGCAATGGCCGGACTGCGATATTGCCTGGAGACTCAATCGCATCAGCCAGAGTCAGAAGGATCGACCCTTGTAGTTAAACGACGGCAAGGGACGATCCTTGTGGTTCGAAGGCATTCGGGGCACATTCGCAAGGTTGCTGGAATACATGTTTTTTCACAATGCTGTCATGCGCTTCCAGTGACTACTGAGTTCAATCTCTTTGGATGAAGTTCAGGAGCAAGGCTGTATACATATATATATAATATATATCTGCTACCTGACACAATTCCATTATTGCACAATCAATTGGCAAGTCCAGGGGCTTGAGATTTCACTGAAGCTTGTCAAACCTTGATTGAAGGAATCAAAATATGCTTGTTGTTTTGGAATCCCTCTGGTCATTCACTGTATATACTATCAAGGAAGCAAAAGAATTGGAACGAAATGTTTTAATGCATGCTCAAGGCATCAAAATATTCTCCGTGATGCAGCACTTGCGTAATGCAAAACTTCAATGTTGCTTCAGTTGCTTCATTTATGGGCAGTTGTTCTTCAGGTAGCTGTTTGCGGACATCAAAATACATCAAAGCAAGCCAAACAATCATGATGGTAGATGCCACAACTATACCATGTAGCTGCTTCAAAGCTTTGAGTTTTTTGAGCCTCAGAAAAATTAGCCTATACGGTCTTTAAATTTCACGGTTTATATGGTCAGTTGACCTCTGCTGGCTAAAATGGCAGTACCCTGGAGTTTGCAGCGCTTTGCAGGGCGTAAGAGAGGAAAAAGGGAACTACAGGCTTCCATCTTTCCAACGTCCAGTGCATTTGACCATGCAACCACGGCATGACATGACCCATCAGAGCTGCACATCACGCGGGTAAACGCCGCCAACAGTGCATGGCTCAAGCACGGGTTGGGTGAACAGGGGCCCTTCAACCCCAAGCTAAACAGTGCTGCAACTGGGTTCATCACTTTTTCATGTTTACTGAGTTCTGATTTTACCACAAGTTTTTCCAATCCAAGCATTTTCATCACGAAACTCTGTAAACCAACCTTAGGGTGTGCATCAGTTTTTATTTGCACGGGTTGACCAACCCGTAGATGGCCAACCCCCAAAAGAGGGGCAGGACTGCTGTCGAAGCTTGGAAAGCTGAGAAGGCGGTGTCGGGATTTGAGTGGCATAGCCTCGTGGCCGCTTTTGCAGTTGGTTGGATTGGCTGCTTTGTTTGGCTCATCCTTTGAGAGATGGTTGCCCCGGTCAAGCTGGTTTGCAGTTTAGCCAGATTCACCGGGAGTTTCAGAAGCTCATTTTTCCTGCAGGCGATCTGGCGCCTTTGTGGTGTGAGTTCTGGGATGATGCAACTTTTAGACTGGAAACAGTTTTTCCTCTTTGCAAGGAGCTGCATTGCAGTCTATGTGGATCGGACGGAGTTGGCCCTAGCAGTGACCGAAAGCAGACTGAGGTTGCCAGTCCCATTGTCCAGCTGGAGCGTACCTACGCCGCCGGTTCAAGTGGTGGCGCAGGCAGTGGCCGATTCTTCCGATGAATGGTCAAGCTCAGGGGACTAACACCTTTCGTCCGAAGCGCGTGGCACCCAGGGTTAAAAAAGTGCGTTTTGTTAGAACATCGTTGAGGTCAATCAAGACCAGTTCAGCAGGTCTGCAGTTTGGAAAACCAGTGAACACGTTGGGCATGACTCCATTAGGCGAAACCAGGACTACTGAATCCTGGCATCTGGGATCCACACCACGCCAACTTCTCGGAGTGTACGTCATGCCAGGCTCAAGCAAACACACAGAACGATTTGTTGTGACACATCATGCATGAGGCCATGTAATCAATAAGATAATTCACCAGAATTTACAACCACATAACTCTAAGAGAAACTTGACCTGTGAACTTAACCAAGCAGTGGGATAAAAAACGTTTGGACGGCAATAGACTTCTCAACTTTTAAGTCTGCGGATACCCGTACCCATGTCCAAAGGTTTGGAGTCTAAAGCAGCTTTCAAGGCGAGGGCCACTGAGATGGATTGCCTGAAGACGCCATAGACCGTCTGAAAAAATGGTGGATTGAGAAGCTTTGGGGCATATGCTTCCATTACAAGCTATCAGCCAGGTCAAGCAGAGGAGGCCCAGCTGATTACAGCCCTGACAAATACCATGGGTCGTGCACCAACAAATGCAGAAACCATCGCTTT